CGGTTGAGAGAGGCGGGGCATAGAGGACCTACAATAATGTACAGCATTTGAAAAATAGTGTGTTTTTTGAACATTAAAGCATGTCAGCATATTCTGTTACACCAAATACACAAAATAATGATCTTTAAAAAAGCATCATATGACCCCTTTAATGTTTTATGTAATGCAGTGTCATTTTAAATAATAAATATATATATATAAAAAGGAAATATTTATTTGCAGTAATTCATATTTTCTTGACTGGTGCAAACAGAGGACAGGACCCTTGCATTTTGTACATTACATTTTTAGAATATTCATACAATTATAATGTTTGTTGAAGACGGTTCAGTGCAGTCTGCTGCATTTCCAGTGCACGACACATGAGGGCAGTCAAACAACATTATAAAGTCGTAATGCTTTTTCCTCTCTGCCAATGGACTGTTTACATTCCTAAACATTGAGAAACTGAGAAAGTTATATGGCATAAGATTTGAGAGGTTCCCGGAATGTAGACATTAGAAATAATAGTTCCTCACTGTTACCACATAACTATGATTATGCTTGCGTTAGTGAGTTTATTTTTACCATTCACATGACAACACCAGTCATGCCCGATAACATCAACAGCTCAGAGTATAGCCTACACTTAGTCATTTGATACAGAATTAACCACTAACACCACTTTTGGATGCTTTTAGCAACATTATACAGATGATTATACCCAGTTGATGGCAGGGAAAATTAAATGATCAAATTCAAATAAAATAAAATGACAGAACAAAATATTAGGCCTACTTCGGAATGCAACACGTTTAAATCTGCAGGGTGAATGAGATTAGAGTACAGTTTATCACTGTTTATTCAGGTACCTATATTGGGAATGTGTGCACTCTCCAAGGAAAAAAGTTGCGTCTGATCGAAATAAATAAATGAATCTGCAGGGTGTATTTATTTATTTATTTATTTCCATTCACCAAACTCTTTTCCTTAGAGAATGGACACATTATCAATGCAGTTACACCTATAAGGTTGATAAAATAATCAGGTAATTAAAAATAATTCAGGTGTAGCTGTATTGAGAATGTGTGCTGTTTGGAACACTGTGGTAAACAAACAAACAAACAGGTATTCTAAACATCAATATGATCAGGTATCTAAAATAATTAAGCTGTAGTTGTATTAAGAATGCCTGCATTCTCCAAGCAAAACAGTTTGGTAAATTATGGCAAACAAACAAATAAATAGTACACGTTCTTGGCAACTATAAGGTAGATAAAAAAAAAATCAGATGTAGTTAGACTGTTTTTTGCGATAAAGTTGTAGTTTCTTATAAAGCCAATCAATCATTTATCACCTGTAATTTATAAACTGTAATTTTAAAATGTGTTTGTGAAGTTCAAGTTCAGAATGTAAGCGCAGACGAGGGACTAGTTTTCTGTAGTCTGCGGCAGTGCACTGAGAAAACCTCCAAAAGAGGAGTGAGCTGAAGTCTGGCGGACGGACAAGTCTGCCCGCTGCGGTCTGATAGTCCTGTGTGCTTTAACTGGGGCGGATGAATACCACGAGTGAGTGAGTGAGAGAGAGAGAGCGCCATAATGACTGTTACTACTCTCAGTGTAAATCAGTTTCTCGGCGCACAGAGCCATCAGGGTTCGCCAGAGGACTTTGCAGGGAATTTTAACCCACTGTACTCAAACTCACAAGAATCTACTTTTAATCACCATATTTGAATAATGTGTCAACGCCGCAGCCCGCAGTAGGAGGAAGTTTGCTTGTTGTCCGTGGACATTTCTCTCACTCTTTGCGGGACTATGGCGGT